TGCTTCCAGTTTTGGGCTCCACAATTCAAAAAGGATGTGGAGAAGCTTGAGAGAGTCCAGAGAAGAGCCACGCGCATGATCAGAGGTCAGGGAAGCAGACCCTACGATGACAGGCTGAGAGCCCTGGGGCTCTTTAGCCTGGAAAAGCGCAGGCTCAGGGGTGATCTGATGGCCACCTACAAGTTTATCAGGGGTGACCACCAGTATCTGGGGGAACGTTTGTTCACCAGAGCGCCCCAAGGGATGACGAGGTCGAATGGTCACAAACTACTTCAAGATCGTTTCAGGCTGGACATAAGGAAGAACTTCTTTACTGTCCGAGCCCCCAAGGTCTGGAACAACCTGCCACCTGAGGTGATTCAAGCACCTTAATTGAACACCTTCAAGATGAAACTGGATGCTTATCTTGCTGGGATCCTATGACCCCAGCTGACTTCCTGCCCTTTGGGCAGGGGGCTGGACTCGATGATCTTCCGAGGTCCCTTCCAGCCCTAATGTCTATGAAATCTATGAAACTGCCTGAGCCCATCAGTGGAACAAGTACAGTGCCCCACATTGGTCTAGTGAATTTGACACTTCTGTGAAGCACCTCCACCTTAGGTAGGGCATTTCCTCCCACTGGGCATGTCTACACATTCATGAATGTATCTTTGTTACTTCTCATTTAATTCACTACTTGCTTAATGAAGTACTAACTAAATGCACAGTAACTAGACTTACTCTGCAGTAGCACCAGCGCATTATTATTTTGTGATGCTTACTGTGCATTAGCCTAATAACACTGCACAGCAGGCTATTAGCACAGTTTTTAATCACCACACTACTGCACAGTATTATTGCGCTAATGTGCAGTAAATGCCTCATGTAGATGCACCCACTGAGGCAATTCTGAGCAGTGAAGGTACCTGGAAATGCTCTCCCTTGCAATGCCACTGCCAATCCCAGTCCTACTGAAATCATGGAATGAACAGCAGAATTGCAAGTTCCAGCAGAGGAGCCTCCCTTAGCTGTAATCACAGATATTGGGCCTAACAGTGTATGTGCTAACTCCTTCCCCACCATTGCCTGTGGTTTATGTGGCATGGCCCCCTGCAGCACCCCAAAGAGCAGAAGTGCGTATGCAGTGCTGCATACCCATTTTGTTGGAGTTTGTAAGACTGGAATCTCGTTATTAGATCAGAGCCTCCGAACAACAAACATGACCCTGCTGAGAAGACCAGGGAATTGCTGTTCATTTAAGCATGTTGTTGTTGTTAATGATGATGATAAACAAAGCGCCTGGGCGGGCTTCAACACATAGCAGAACGTGGTCCTGGGGCCCTTTAGGCGTAGCATTATCTTGTAAAACGGACTACCGGTATCATCGTTTTAACAATTAACAGGAAAAAAACCAGCCCAATAATATAAGGACAAAGGAGAATTTAATGAAATGAAAAGGTTGGAAATTCAACACCTATCAGGGGAAATGCTTTTCTCCTAATGCTTGATTAAATTGTGACACTTGTTGCCATGGGAAGCTGTTGGGATCAAGAACTTAAGAACATTTTGGAAGGGTTGTGGTATCCATGTGGATAACAAGGAGATCCAGTATTAGCATAACTGACAGGGATAGAGAAATCTGGGTGGTAACGAGGACAGAGAAATCTGGGTAGTGTTAACTTTTGTGCTTCAGGAGTTCAGCCAGTCTCTTCCCAACTGACTGACCCCACGTCAGCCTGCCAGCAGGGTGACCCCTCTCTGTGCTGATACTAAAGTTAAGATGCTGGATGTGATGGGGCTCTGACCTGACCCAGCCTATTAACTCCTGGGTTCCAAAGTAATAAGGAGCAGAGGTTCCCCAAGCCAGAATCAAAACCAGAACATTATTTCCTACTTACAAGGAGAGACGCCAGCCTGGACTCAGATTCCCTGATCCCAAATCCTCTCAGTTTACAAGAAGATTGCACCTTTAATAGAACAATAAAGAAAAACTCCCCTGGCCAAGAGCATAGAACAGATTCCTGGGTGATGGTAATCCGCCCCCTACAGTCCAGTCCAGAGGTTTTTGCTCTGTTTTTATCTTGCCAATACTCTGCCAAAACTCAACTGTGTTTTTCCCATGATGGTGAGCGGACTTCACCCCCTGACTGGGGAAGAGAGCAGAGCATGGCTTTCCTTATACCACTGTGTGGTGAATAGATTAAGAGTCAACCACAGCAGCTGTGGTCAAGGTCAGATTAAAATGACGCCAGGCCTTTAGCTCAAAGTGCCTAAACCTCAATCTAGCCCTGCCTGTGATCAGGATTACTTACCAGCTCTGTAGCAGTGGCTGTTAGAGGACTGCTGGGCTGGTTATACATTTTGCAGCTCTTGTTTATGTAGGCCAGCCCCTGCTCCCCTGCCCAGTTCGGTTGGTTAGGAAGATGGCAAGGGGCAGATGTTTGTGTCCCATCTGCTAAAAGCATGCATAAACACCAGGAGACAGAAGATAGTCCCCCCTGAGGCTGGTCATGGGCAGATTTTGGGATGGGGTTTCAGACTTCAGTCCCTAGGATAAGGCAGTGATGTGAGATGCATGAGTACATCTTGCTCTTTGGTTGCTCTCTCTGTTTGGAGGAGCATCAATGGGGAGTTGCCAGTCCCAGCTTAGAGACCATCTAACTTTGTGCTCTGTACCCTTTTTTGTTCCCTGCTTTTAACAGTAGGCTAGACTGGGGAAACCAGGAGACAATCTGGCCCCTCTCCTTGAGTGCTTTGGCTACTCGTCCATCTCCAAGACTTACAGCTCTGGCCAAACCCAAGAAGAATTTTGATGGAAAACTCCAGCGCAGGTTGGTCATATTCAGGCGGGCTCTTTCTTCTGTTTGAAAACCAACCCTGGTCAATGAGACAGCTTGTGGTCAGTTCATTACATGTTATTTAACACAAATAAAGGTGCAGCAGCTGCGCAAAGATGAACCCATGCTGTGGCACAGGCTTCTGCAATTTTCCACTCCAATCACAAACCTCAATGAACAGCTTCCATCTGAGATCAGCTTAGGAAAGCGCCTGGTGAGAGGGCAGTTCTGTGATGTCAGGGTCTCTGCAAGTTTGCTGGGTGAAAAGGTGCATTAGCAATGCAAAGCATTATTATCCATTGCTGCTATTATTATTAATAATGCCTCTAACCATAATGTTGTTTCCCACTGTTGACCACCTGGCCTCACTCATCACATTTAAAAATATTGGTGCTTCATAATTGGGTCTCATATGGAACATATTTTTGTTTGCAATCCTTGGAACAGGTTGATTTCCAAAAGGGGAATCTTGAGAAAGTTAAAAATTGTAGTTAAATGTTATTTTTAAGCTCAGTCTGAAAACTGGCAGGCAGCAGCAGAACTGAGTCGAAGTGAGCTGTAGCTGATGGGCTGCCAGAAAGGTGTGACTCACGGACCAGGCAGCTGTTGTTGCTGGAAAAGTCCTTTGTCTCATTAGAATTCCAGGTTTAATACTGGGTGCATTCTACTGCCAGATTTGATCGCAGTTTCCAAGCACAGCAGTACATTTCCTTGTGCACTTGGCTTATATTGTTTCAAAGTGACATTCTTTATGCTTGGAAATAGGAGCGTCCAACATATATAGATATATAGGAGTGCAAAAGTGTGCACGTACACATAACTGTGGGTGTACATGCTGGGATATATCATGCCTACCCCAGTGTTTTGGTGTGGTATATCTGGCTCTTGAGTGACCAGTCAATACAGAGAACACAAGAATTGGTAACCCAAACAGCTACGGAAATCATCCTTTATCTTGAGTGATTTGTAGCTTTGGAGCAGAAGGCTGTGTGTTGTGTGGCATTCAGTGCTGGAGGTGGTATCGGTAATATACGTGGCTCTGGATGGTTACCCTAGGCTCCAAGTTACCGCAGGAAAATCCAGTGCAAGTTACATTGGAGTAGGTATGTGTCCGCTCCCATCCCAGGTTAGCAGCTTGCTATAGGCAAACAGGCTATTAGTAGGGACCTACTTAATTTAGGATTCTCTGCAAAACCTGTGAAATCAACAGCAACCCCCCCAAAAAACCTTAATAAAAATAAAATGCTTAAATGCCAGTGATCCCTGATGCTGGGAGGGGATGGCACCGGCTGGCAGGTGGCACAAAGGGCAGCAGTCAAAATGGCTGCTGCCCCCTCATCCATCCTCCTCCGCTGGGGCAGGGATGCCACAAAATGACCATGGGATGAGAACTTTACATTGCAATGAACCCACGAAAATAGGTAAGTCCCCCCCACGATTTAGGTAGACCCCTTAGCTATTAGTGGTTCCCCTGCCATCTAGTGGTGAAGAACTGTTGTAGTGTCTATGGCTTGCAGCTAACCCAGAGAGCTGGTCCTCTCTGCAGGACTGGTGTAACTTAAAATGAAGTACAAGAACAATGAAAGTTACTCCATTGCTAAGGTGTTGTGTGTCCAGGCCCTTTAGGATTTGAGACCTCAGGAAACTGGACTGTTGTGTGCCAGAGGTGGAGAACAGGAGAGCCTTGGGCATCAGTAATGCCTCAGGCCCCTGCAATGGCCAGGAGTTAATTTGGTGCAATATATCCAGAGAGCCCATGCAAATGAGCACCATGCCTTGCTGCAGAGGAAGGTGAAGACCCTCTAAAGTTTCTGCAAGCTGAACTGGCGAAAGATGCCTCCCCAGGATAAAAGCCACTGTTTATTTGTTGGGGGCACACTGTCAAGTGTGAGAAGGAGGAAGTCCCACGTTTAAGCACTCTGTCCTTCATCAGAGTGAAGCCCTCTCTCTGGGTGAGACCCCAGGTTGAAGGGCTGCTGCCCAGCACATGAGATCCTGGTCAGTATGCTGGGATAGCCATGTTATGATGACTTAGCCTACAGTGAAAACCCTCAGGCTGCAGTGAGGGAAACTGAATGATCTATGAATCGAAGAAAATGCAGTGGAAAGAGATGACGTGTGAGTTTGACTAAAGAGCAGAGCTAGGTCTATGCTGCACAGGCCCAAGTCTGGATCAGATTCCAAGCCCGAGTCAGCCAAATGTGGATGGAAGATTCTGGGTGGGCCCGAAGATGGATGCAGGCCGTAGAGTACACAGCCTGGTCTGTGTTTAAAATTAAACATCCTCAGAGTTGGCAGAGATCCTGGAACCCAGAATTAGAACAGGGTGCTAAGGCATTTAGTTATACACTTGCTGTTGCACGTTGCTGCTAAAGGTCTATGGTGCAGGTATATATTTGCAGAACAGCAGTTCCCAGCTGAGAGTTTGTGATCTCAAGCAAAGGTCCTGATGTCATGAGTGAGGTCACTCACCTTAGAAAGTTCCCAGATTCCCTGACTCCCCCATTAACTGGGATCAGGGTACCTCTGCTGCTTATCACCAGTAAACTGCCACTGTGCCCTCAGTAAACCCCGTAGGATTGCTATTTAGCCATGTTTTGTTCAGGAGCAAAATGCCGCAGGTTAGCTCTCACCGTGTGAGCACAAGGACAGTATCCACTGAAAGCTGAGGTATGGTAAATCCCTGCTCCCTGTAAATCCTGGGCACAGGAAGAGCAGTAATAGTATATATGGGGGTCACATAAAATTATCCCCTACCATAGGTAGGATGTTGCCTGGAGGAGGTTTGAGAACTGCTTGTGGAGAGAAAGATGAGCAGTCAACAGGATAGTCCTGCTGCATTGGATCTGTATGCATGTGTGTCCTTAGGGTGTGCTATGAATGTTCATTATCATTAACCCTGATACTACCTCACTGTCCCGTGGAGTCTTGCCTGGGTCTTGAGGGCAGTAGACAAAGGGCAAAGAGATTCTCTTAGCCTGGAGGTCTTGACAGGCCTCTTCCAACCAGGAGTCCAGGTGGTCTGCCTTGAGAAAACCTTTGCCATGTCTGGATAGGGCTTTGGCAGGCTGTCCTACACAGGGCAGGGCAGGATTGTTGCAGTTCATAGAAGTTATAAAAATTATAGTGAAGTAGGGCTGGAAGGTACCTCCAGAGGATATCTACTCTAGTCCACCCCCCTGCCTGAGGCAGGATCGTTCCATCTAAATCATTCTATACAACTCATAATCTAAACGCTTCATAAAACTACCATTGACCTTGACACAACACAACACCTCAACCTGCCACAGGTAAAGCAGGGGAACCACAGCAGCCAGTGTCCTGCTTTTATAAAATGTTGTTAATATATACTCAAAAGATCTGAGGTAGTGGGCCCTGCACCCACTAGAGAGGAAGGCAACTCCCCCTGGCTCCCAAGCCACAGTCCATACCAATCTGGCCATGGGGTAAAATTCCTTCTTGATCCCAAATATGATGATCGGTCTGTCGCTGAGTGGAGGAGCAAGCCCTTCTAGCCAGGATCCTCTGTCTTTAAGTCCCAGCAGGGGCACTGTCACACTCAGAGTTCTGAAATTCCAGTGAAAAATACTGTCTGCATTTTAAAGTTTAGCAACAGCAATGAGAACAAAACTAACAAAACAATGAATTTTTTGGGGAATGTTTTTCTGACAGTTTTTCCAGGCATGAGCAGAGTGTAAAGACCCTCACAGGCAGCGCTGTACCTAGACTCCTGGTGGCCCCGGGGGAACTTTTAGTATCAGGTCCCCCCTTTGCCAGAGATAATGATAATAATAATTGGATAACGGAAAAAAAATTACCATTTTCGGGCCCCCTTTCTGTCTGGGCCCTGGGTGACCGCCCAGTTCACCCATGCCTGCGTCCATGTCTGCTCACAGGTCTGCGTTTATAAAACATCTGTCTGGTGGGCTCATCCTTGCTCACTGAGAAAGAGAGAAAGCTGTTGAGCAAAAAGATCCTGGGATTCCTTTTGGCTTCTGAGGAGAAGACAAGGAGCTAGATAGACATCCTTCAACAAATAATCAGCCCTGTGCGAACTACCCCTAGGTTCCACTCACAGCCTTCTTTCACATGCAAGGAGACTGTAATGCAATATGAGTAAACAGTTGACTGCAGAGCCTTTCATTGGCATACTATATCATGAGTGATGATCTGGATGGGAGCCAGTTATCCAAATGAGGGCATGAAAATGAGAGCACATGTTGGTCCAAGGAATGTAGTTGGGAGGCAAACAATTAGCTTACCACAACCAAACTGACATTGCTGGTCTGCAGTTGGAAGACAGGTCCTTACATGCATTAGCATGAGGCAGTGTTACTTGCATCTTCTTCAAATGGAGGTTTGATCCAAAACTTTAGGCAAGCCTAAAATGCCCACTTTAAGGTGTAGATGAATGATTATGATCTGCAAGTATTATTATGGAGGAAATGAGTGGCAATAACTCTTCAGCGTTGATCAGAAAAAAACAACAGGTGCTCCTTCCTTCATAGCTTCTGGTTCCACTGGAAAATGGCCAAGGCCAAGAGACAACCTGGACATTCAGTAATGGAGTTCATGCTTGTGGGAGGAGGGTGGTGCCACCCTCTGTAAGTACAAGTATGCAAGCCTTTGTCCTATAGCAACTCCAAAAAGCTAAGAGCCCCTAAGGAGCCATATTAGCTACCAGAATGGAAGCAAACACATATGATGCTCAGTAACCAGAATAAGCATTGGGGAAGTCATGATAGTACATTCCAGTGGCAGACTTCCTTGTCTAATTAATACAAAGTGTTCATTTGCATACAGAAAACAAGCTGTTTATGTAAAATAAACCTAAATGGGTAGAGTGTGTGGAGTGTGAATCACTGGAGGGGATGGAGAAAGGCTTTGGGAATCTGTCTAATTACATCTCTGTCAGTAAATATTACGTGACTCTGGCAACTCTTTCTACATTTAATTTTCCCCACCTGTAGTGTGAGTTGGGATCTTGCATTTACTCAGCTGCCAAGGGTGACCTGCGTCAATTCATGTTTGTAAAGTGCTTTTGAGATCCTAAAATGAAAGGCACGATAGTAGTGCCAAATGTAATTGAAGAATTATAACCAAGAGGATTCTAATTAGCAGGCTCCACAAATAAACAACATAGGTACCATAAGGTTTGTGTTGCAAAACAGTTTCTTCAAATTGTCCAGGGAAAGGATGGCATTTTCTATGCTAGATGCAGTGTTGCGCTTATTTAGATACACATATGCACACTGTGTCCACAAAACTCTTTATATAGGCCAGTAAGTGCTTGTGGACTCAGGTCAGGTAATCCGCATGTGCAAATACCCACTGGTTGTATAGTTAACCCAGTTTGTGTTCACAAATGTGGACTGTTCCCTTTGTGTGTATGTGGGGGGGGAGGGGTGTTATCTGACCATGCCTATTGTCACCATTTCAGTGGCGATTGTACTCATGCTGCATCTCATCATTAATGCTTTCATGGTATTCTCACAGGCCCCTTTTCCTGTACAGCTGTGGTCGGGAATCAGAGATATGGGAGCGCCCACCCCTAATGAATCTTGGGTTTCCATCTGATCGGATACTGAAGTTAGCAGAACCTAAAAAATTTCAGCTGGCTTACCTGCAGAAAAGGTAAAACTCCAGGTCATTCATACTAAGTAGGTTAAGTGAGTTTTCAGCAGTAGCATTGCTCTAAAACAGTAAGTGCCAGAAGAATAAGGGACAAAACTAGTAAAAGAAAATTGGTTCTTGAAGAGGGGTCTGTGTAACCCCTGCTGGTGGCCTGTGAAAAGCTGGTAGGTCTCACAGGGTAGGCTCTGCTCTTTCTTTCCAGTAGCCAAATTACATTAAAAGAAGCCAAGCATCCATCAGACACTCTGCTGACATTATTATGCCATGCAAACAGATGTGACTCTGGATGGGATGTGAAATGTGAAAATCTGCATTTGGCTCTCCCCATTCAAGGGATGGGCCAATAACATAAGGATAAATAGGAGAGTGGGGCACATGTCCTGGCTGCTGGGTAAAGGGGGCGGGGGTGCCAGAATGGACTGGGGAGGGGTGCCTCACCTTCTAGTCCGCAGTTCCACCTGTACTTTCTAGTTCCAGCAAGCAATGCCAGTGCAGCAGTGTGTCACAGAACACAGGGCATTCTGGGAAAAGTAGTTCTGGAGCAGCAGTGAAGTTCACTGCTGGTGGTTGGAGATTTCACCCCAGTTTTTTGCTGCCAAAATCAGGAGGTTTTTTGCCCACCTGACAGGTGCCTGCAGCAAAAAAAAAGGAGGCAACATCTCTGTTCAGCAGCAGCAAACTTCAGCTGCTGCTTCTGCATGCTGCCCACTGCAGAAGCCTCCAGAGGCAGAAGATACAGGGGAAGGGGGAGGAAGGACTGCCCCAGGCTAGTTATGCCTCTGGCATGAGAACCCCCTCCCCAACAGCAGAACCTCACATAAAGGAATTTTTTCAGTGCAAAATACATGGCTTATTTGGAATGAATAAGAAATATGAATATGTGAGACAACGATTTCCCATCAGCACTTACATATTTAATGGCAAGAGTAGATGAAACGCTGGGTCAAGTTTGAACTTGCAGTTCTAATTGAAAAGGCTCTCCCTGGAGCTGGCCTTTTGTGCTGAAAGGAAGCCTCTGAAGGATTTCCCCTGCAAAGTGCAGGACTGCCAGGCTTAACAAGTCTTTCCTACAGAAAGATGGAAAGGTCAAACTGCAAACCATCTGCTGGGCACAAAAAGAAAGGCCATCTGCACTGTGGTTTCAAAAGGAAACAGGTGCAAGTCATACTGGTTGTGTGCAGTCGAAAGCAGATGGCAGTTCACCAGCCACACAATGGATCAATAAGTTTGCAGCACCAGGCAGAGCACTGAGTGAACCTTTACATGGGATTTTCACAGGATTCAGAGGAAGTAGGTGCCTGAATTCTACTGAAGACCCATGGGATTTCATGGATTACCCAGAGAAGTTGTAGACTCTCCATCCTTGTAGGTTTTTAAGACCCAGATAGCCAAAAGCTTGGTGGGGATGATCTAGTTGGGGATGGTCCTGCTTTGAGCAGGGGGCTGGACTAGGTGACCTCCTGAGGCCCCTTCCAACCCTCATTTTCTATAATTCTATGATTCTATGATTTGGGAACCTAACTTTGAAAATCTGAGCCTTAAGTCTGAAGAAATGCAATGCATTTATTTAACCCAGTATTGGAAGATGTGTTCCCTTTCTTAGCAGCTTTTACTTTTGCTTCTTCACTGTATGAAAATGCTTCTCTCTCCTGCCTTCTGCTAAAAAGTTTTCCTAGTCATTTATCCTGAAACTTGAACTGGGGAATGAACTCTGACTTCTTTGGACATGTTTTTCTCCCTGGCTTTGCTGCTGGACCATAGTTTAATAGCTGTGAAATCTACAGTCACTCCCTGCATATGCGTGCTTGGACTGTGTGACTCCACATGTGCTTGGTGCTCTGTTATGTGGTTGCCAGCCCGTAACAGAAAGGCTTCCCCTCCTAGAAGTTGCACAGGGTAAAGGATGAGCATGAGGCAACAGATCTTCCCCTTATCATCTGAGCACTTCCTTTTAGTTCCATGGCTCTTTCTTTGGATTTCACTCTGGTAATCACTCTGTGTACCTTGTGGGGGTCACCTCTTAATTCCCTTATTTCATGTGTTCCAGCTTCCACTGGAATAATGTACCAAAGTACCTGAACCTTCTCCAAGTGAACTATACCATGCTCCTGCTGCAGGCTGATGGCTTTGAAATGTGTGTGTGTGTGTGAAATGACGGAAGGTTTAGCAGCTTCAGTAACAAATAGTCCATAACTTTGCTTCCCTATTCTGTCATCTGGGCTAGTTTTATTTCACAGGAATGATGCAGCCTGAGTGTGGTATGTGGATCTCAAAGACCAAGTCTCATGTCTGCCTCCCATAGCTGGTAGGTTCTCTCCCAGAGCCTTGAGGGAAGCAGGAGTTAACCCCAAAAATAAATGTTGCACTCAGATCTCATGCCAGTGATTGTATCCAGGCACAGACAGGACCTCAGTTAATACATGGGATTGTTCAAAGACCCCTGTAGGGAGTCAAACATACACCCCTGTCATTCAGTAGTGCACTGGGTCTCTGACACCCAGCAATTAAGATTAATACTCTCTAGTCCAGGGGTGGCCAACCTGTTGCATGAGTGCCAAAAGTGACATGGGTGTCCTCTGTGTATGGCATGTAGCAGATCAGGGAGGAGACAGGCAGCACAATAGCAGATAGGGCAGGCACAGAAAGCACATCAGGAGATTGCATAAGTAGCACAGAGGAGGGAGCAGACAACAGAGCAGCAGGGGATCAGAGGGGCATGCGGGGAGGGTGCAAGGCTAATTTGTGGCAAGACACTCAAATATTTGGCTTCCACTGCTCTCAACCATTCAGAGCTCAAACAGCCCCTAGCCCCACCCGGCCTCTCCCCAAGGCAACTGGTATTTGGGCATGGTCTGAGCTGGGAGGTGAACCCAGGTCTCTGCAGTGCTTCCTGGTGTCCAACCCATGGTCCTCAGGCTGGGCGGAGGCTATGTCTGTACCCCGAGTCGGCTCCCTGGGGTGAACCCCAGCCCCTGGTCCAGGCTGCATTTCCCTGCTCCCTCCAGAAAAAGCACCATGTGCTTTCTGCTAACAGGTGTGACCTCCCTGGAGCCTCACTCCTAGGCTAGCCACTCAGCTCAGAGCCCACAAGGCCAGCTGCAGCCAATCCTCTGCCCCCATGTGGGCAGGGTGGAACTTCTGCTCTGGAGTGGCATTCCTCCCTGCCAGTAGGGAGGCAGCTGACAGCAGGGGGCTGGGAGGTGGGATCCCCTCCCTATCCTGTGGCTACACTACCCTAACACCAACTGCCCTTCCCTCCTAGTTCTTGTTGGGTGAGGTGAGGTGTGGTGGGGCTGGCCTTGCATACTGCAGCCATGCTTTGCATTAGGCAATGGCTCCCTCCGGCAACCATCCCCTGGCGAGGCTTGGATCCACTCCCTAATGTACAGGACCTGAGTATGCAACTTTGTTTACACCAGGTGTAAAATGATGGGTGTGCAGACCAGCTTCAGGGCTTGTTGTTATGGCACTGCCACCACAATCCTTGCAAACAACTTCTCCCGTAACCGCAAGAGGGTGGCTCATTTGCACCAGACAAAGAGACTGACTCTGGAAACAGCCTCAAGATGTAGCTGTGTTGCCTGATTGTGTTTCCCTGTAGGGCTCGCAATTCCCCAGAGTGGCCTGTGACGCCAGCTGCGCTCACCTGTGAGGCTTCCCAGAGGGTGCTAGACCTTGCACATCCAAAATCCATGCATCCAGACTTCATTCAAGCCAGAGAGGTAATGGCTGTGTCAGATTGGGGAGGGGGAACATGGCACTTCTGCCTGGTCCTGCTTCTAGCAACATGTGAGCTGGGGTTGTTGTGACACAGATGCAGTCACATACAGTGTACACACTGCGTCTTACAGCTTGGTGGCTCTGCTAATTCAGTAGGTGGCACAAGGTCTTCATATAATAATAACCAGATGAAGAAAGTTGTGTCAGTCTTGTCAGGGCTGTTGAGTCATGCTGGCTGCAGCCATGTAAAAGGCAGCTATTTTTGGTACATGGAGGAGCCTTGATAGGTCAGTCTTTCTGCATGTTCTCACTGTTTGCCACAGCCATGGCAGGAGACAGCTGGGCTGGGGGAGGGGTGGAAAACAGACCAGCCTAAGCAGCCAAAAATAAAGAACCAAGCCAGAGAAACAGGTGGCATTGGAGGCTGAATCGAGCTGGGTGAGTAGAATGAGCCAAGTGGTAGGTGGGAATTCCACCTCCGGCACTGCTAGGAAGTTCAGACCTGATTTGGAGTTTGTAAGCCAGGACCACATCTGTGAGCCCATGGCAGGGGGAGCTGGCTACTAGCATTTCCCTGTGTTGTTTATGGTGCTTTCTAGAGCACCTCTTTCTTTCAGGCTAGTCATTAGGCTGTGGCAAACAGTGGAAAGGCTCAGGTAGTAACTGGAATGATGTGAGGGGGAGTCTGTCCCTGCACAGGGGAGTAGAAGGGTTCCCTCTGCTGCCAGGATCCCAGGGTGAAAATCTGTGGCTTCTATCTCCTAAGAGAGGGAGAACACTCTTGTTCACCCTTACAGTTTATGATGGTCATGAGAAAAGCATTAGTCCCATTCTGATACATAGGCTTCTGCCTTGTGGGAGCTGTCAACCACACCTGATTTTTCTTTTAGAAAAGTATCCTTTTGTCCAGGGGCAGATCTAGGCTTTAATAAAGGGATGAGGCACATCATCCCTTAGACCATGAAGTGGGATGGGGGCACAGTGTGGTTGGAGCCCCTGAGCCAGTGGGGGATGCTGAGGGTGGGACAGGGGGGTACAGGATGGAAGGACCTGCCCCCTGCTGCTGCTGTCCTTGGCTGGCCAGGGTACATATGGGAGCTGCACTGCCACTCTTCTTAGCTCAGGGGACCAGATGGGATCCAGGAAGCAGCTGGGCAGGGTTCATTCTTCCTGTGTCTGTTCTTGCTCACCCCCTGTGTCCTTTGGGGGCTGGCAGTAGATGCTGGAAGGAGGACACTGCTTTCCCTTATCTCATGGCTGTCCCTGGCTGGGTCTTGCATACCATGCAGTTGCTTCCTGAAATCTGGCTAGAGGAGGCAGGAACCAGGGTGAGAGACCCCACGCCTGAGAGTATCGGAGACCAGGCCAGGGCCCAGTGCCTGAGAGAGACAAGACCTGAAGATAAAACAGACTGAAGAAGCAAGAGATTAGACTTGGGGCTGACAGCCCATTGAAAAGATGGAGTATTGACACTTGACATTGCTCTGTAGGGACAGTCAGAGGCCATGAATACAACCTTTAAGGCATTGAGAGTTAAAATAAGAAGAGAGTGGTAGGACCTAGACTCGTGAGTCCTCTGGGGTTCTGGGCAGCCTTCTGAGCATTTTTCAGAAACAGCAAAGGTGTGGCAGACAAGTGAGGGAGGAAGGGACCAGGGAGTCACGAGTGGAGGACCAGAGGAGGGTGTTAATAATAATACACCCAACCTCATCCTGCTACAAACAGTGCTTGGCTTAGATGAGAGATCCTACTCTCTGTGTTCCTAGAAATAACTTGGATGACAAACAAAGATGACTAAAATATTCATGGCCTAAAATGGGCTGATCTCTGGCTGGTCTTGTAAAATTCTCCTTGCTAAATTTTGGAACAGGTTTTCCTGTGCTTTCTCCAGGCTGCCCCTCACACTTGGGAGAGGCTCCCCTCACACCCCAAAGCCACCTCCTTGTCCTCTTTTATGGCCCTCCTTGGCAGCAATGCCTTCAGGAAACTTGACAGCCATGGAGCTGCTGGGTGCCAAGAGCACTGCCCTCCCTGCTGGCCAGGATTTGTGCTGACTGCCCTGTCAGCAGGGTCAATGCAATCTTCTCAGCAGCATGCCCCATACTCTCACTTCAGATACCCCTTGTGTGTGCATCAACCTCGAACCCCCAGCCCCCTTCCTCCTCAACCCTGTGGCCCAGGCCTACAGGGAGGAAAAGCAGCCCTCCCAGCCATAGGAATGGGAGCAGTGCTTGCAGCTGGGAGCCTGCTGAAACCTGTGGGGAGGCTGGGAAAGCTTGGGTGCTGAGGAACAGGGGCAGGACAAAGGATTCAGAGCCAGGGGAAAGGGAGTGCTGGGCTGAAGTATGTGGGGTTGAAAGCTGTGAGGGTCCTAGGTCATGGGGACTAGAGCTGTTGGGTGAAGGGTCTGGCAGGCAGTGAGGGCAGAGCATGAGCTTGGGGTCAGGGCTTGCAGTAGGGCCATATGGTAAGAGAGCGCAGGGATGTGCTGGGGTCCCCTGAGGCCTTGTGGGCCTGCTGCTGCACTTTCCCAGGCTCTGGGAATTTTGGCTGCAGTCCGGAGGCAACACAGCTCGTCATTATCTATGCTGTGCTCTGTTTGCTATTCCCCCTCTCTCCCCTCTCCCTTTCCAGTTTAACCCTCAGGTCCCCAACATTTCCTTGGATGTCTTCTGCTGAGCATGTTAGCTGACTGGAGTGTACATCCTCCAACCCCACAACATACAAAAACACCCTTTTTCTCTTCTGTTTCCCACCTCTATGTTCATCTCCCAGACCTGCTGCTCTGGGGCAGCCTGCAGCTGAACACTGTGAATATGCCACAGTGAACAATGCTGTTGGTTCTTCCTTTCCATGGCCAGCAGTTCCTCCTGCCTGATGGTGCAGTTGCTCCACGGTGTCCTCCTCCCCTCTACTGCTTCCCAGAGATGACCAGGTGACCCAAAGAACCCCAAATGGCATCCAGTTCTCACAGGGTTGGATTTTTAAAGACTTCCTGGAACACGAGGTGCATTGAATTGTACTTCTCTACCACATGAGTACCCTGAGAGTCTCTCATGATGTTATCTGCAGGGTTCAGGGAAGCTCTGGGCTTTCCTTTACCTTTAGTGCTGGGCCCTTGGAGTTAGGTACCAAACTCCCTGCCTAGGCCCCTTCAGTGAAAATTTGCTTGATTATCAGACCAATTACCCCAAATCCAGGGGAGCTGCAGGTGCCCTGCAGACTCCTCAGGCCGTCAAATGATCATTTGTAGATGCCTCAGCTGAAGAAAACCCTGTGTTTGCCAATGTTGGCCCCTTACTCTATCGCCCATGCCTGAGTGCTGGCTTGCTCACTCTCCATAGGCTGAAACACATGTTACAGACACTGCGAAGACAGCTAGAGTGTCCCAAAGAATAAAGCACCTTGCACAGCCTCAGGTTCGGAAGGACTCATGGTGCTATGATCGGGGCCATCCTGAAGCTCTCATCTGGCCGGTAAGGCACCATGGCAACATTCCCTTGATACGTGATGGCCTTCTCAGATGTGCCACCCTTCCTTCTGAATGGCCTCCTCTCTTCACTTTGCCTTGGACTGCAAACTACACTGAGCACATACAGATTGCACACAAGCTCCTGTGTCATGGTATTCTTGCCATCTAGTACACATGGGGCCAGCTGCATCTGGGCAAGAAGTCCATGGAGGAGTGCACCCCTTGACCAGCTTGGAGCTGCCCTGGGCATAATGTACAGTGTTCAGATATGTGGGGATGGGCAATACATGAGAGCACAACAGACAGGCAAGAGGTCTCTGGGGTGTGGTAGCCAGTGAACTGGCTGGATGAGGGCAGAGCTGGACAGCTGCCCACCATACAGATCCTCCTACTTGTAGTCCCTAGCTTTTCACCTCTGGATCCCTGCCCTTAGCTCTGCACAAGGCTGTCCTTAAAGCCCCTGGGGGACAACAGCTAGAGCAGCATGCTTCATCCAGTGGCACATCTCACCATGAGCACATGCCCTTGCTGCTGCCCCAGCTGCATTTGCCATCCCAAAATTCTCAGTCCAGCACATTGCTGGCTGAGGGGCACAGCAGTGTGCTCACTCCACCATGACGGAGATGCGGACATTCCTGGGATGCAGCCTATGGGAGCTCTCTGGATTCTTCACCCAGGTGTCCAAGTCTGCTCAGCAAGCCACGGCCAGCTCTAGAACATCAGAACTGGCAAAAGAGAAACAGGTGTCTCCCAAGTATCTGCCAGTCCGGGATGCTGAATGGCCAGTGTCAAAAGCAGCTAAGCACACCGCTGCGACTCCTAGGACTGTGGGGCTGTCGAAGCCTTCCAAGAGGTATGTGCTCTCCTGGGAGGGCTTGTAGGGGCCATGAAGGGAAGAAATGACAGGCTGTCCAGTGGTGGCAGATGTGCTCAGAGAGTTTGTCTTGCCCATCTTTCCTGTGCTTCATTGGCTGGTTCTAGGACCATGTCAAATCAAATCTGAGTCAATTCTGTAGAAACTCCATAGCTAGTTGCACTATTGAACAGCTGCCAGTCCATCTCAGAGGTGCATTCATTTCTGTACTGGAAAAAGGGGGTTGTGTGTGTGTGTATTTGAAAAGTGTTTTGAGATGGAAAGTGTGATCTATAAAGAAGAACATGGGAAGCCACCATGAAATGAGTGACTTTGGCACACTAGTTAACCTTGAAAAAAAAAGTGAATGCTTCCTACAATGCCCCCTGTCTCTTTATTTTGTCAAATGTAGTTGAGTTTTAATAATCTCTGGCAATGCATCACAGGACACGAGGGAATGTTCTGAGGTATACTTTGCAATAATGATGAATGCTTAATAGCATGGGAATGCCCAAGAGCATCCACTGTGAAATCCCAGCTGGAAGATGAGGGGAGGCCACTGAGGGTTTGTGTAGAATATAAGACATGCAGTCTGGTGAGGTTCCCCTGGGAGCGTAAGGTATAATTGTTTTAGCTCTATTTTCAGAACCTAGTCTCTAGTTGTTAAAACAATCAGCAGTTTCCAGAAATCTTTCAGCTCCAGTTCATCCCTTTAACTTGACTCCTCCTCTGTTTTTTCGTCATTCCAGGCCCCCTATGAATATTGCTCAGTTCAATCCAGATGCGTTTACAGTAAAGGAGTCTGCCAAGAAGGCATTTTGTTCCAGTCGAATTCTAGAGCTCGCCCGCCCCATTGGGCGCTGAACCTTTGGACTCCACATGGCACTACCCTTCCTTAACACCTAAGAGACTTGTGGCTTTCCCACAAGTTGGTCCCTTCCCCAGTGTGTTTGATTATAGGCTGTAGGTAGAATGTAGACTTGGCAGGAGGGTATGTGAACAAGAACGAGGGAAAACTCCTCTAGCAGCTCAACTGCTGCTTTTAAATCCTTCCCCAATCCTCAATAAAACTGTGTGCAAAATAAGATCAGAGTAACTTTTTTGCATTATTAGGGCTGTGGTAAGTTCCTCTATAGGGAGCATCTTTTCTTCTTGCACCTGCTGAGCAATGTTTCTGGATCTACCTGCCTCATTGTCACTTCATTCACTACTTTCACGACTTCATTCAGTTTAGTTATTTTGTACATTGGTGTATTCAAACAGACATTTTTCAAATGAGTTTCCAGGTAAATCAGATTTGCTGCAGGGTGTCTAAGAATAAGAGGGCTTTAAATGTGTGGGTGGCGGTGGGAAGCAGGACTTGAGTAGTGTGCACAGTAGCTCTGCTCCTGTACTTTGCAACGCAATGTGTGCATCTACATGTGTGGTGGACTGCGTAGTTGTTACTGTGCCATCATTTAGTATTTGTTGAAGCAAGTACTAAATAACTGCATAGTAACCGGTGTTACTGTGCTGTCCTGTTGCTGCATGGTTACTTTTAGCTGCTACTGTGCAGTAACGTTGGCATCAAAGTTCATGCCCGGCAATGCTACGTCACCGTACCAATGAGCTACAATTCAGTAGCTCGTTGCTACAGGAATGTAGCATCTTGTGTAGACACCCCCTCTGTGGTAATGTGAAAAGCATCCCAGATCTGTAATGACCAACTCAGTCTCCCATGAAAGGGATGGTATTCAGTATACTGTAAGCGAATAAATATCCAGCACTCATGCTGGCAGCCAGTCTGCATCCTTTCTGAGATGGGGAAGGAATGGCTTTGTCTGCCAGTGGGGAATAGCTGGGATTCCACTGCCGCGTGCCCCAGAGGAAGGTTTATGTTGCAGTGAGGCCTTCAGCTTTGTCATAGCATTAAGTCTCCATTCTTGTGGCTGACATCTGAAAGCTTACACAGGCTCTTGCCATAGTGCCAGGTTAACACAATGTGCATGAGCCTTTATGAGTGTCATCAGCTTAATTGACACATCTCAGCCGGGATTGGACTCAGCTAAACAAAAGAGATAGCAGCAAGGTCATACACAATTGCTTTCCATTTTTGACAAGGGACATAGATGGGCTCAGAGCAGCAGAAAGGAGGTGGTCTACCACCTTAATAGATGTCCTAGCTTCTAAACAAGAGCAAGGGGCCACTCCCAGCCACACTCTCTGCCCAGGCTCCTTCCCTCTCCAAATAGCTTCCTCAGAGCCAGATACTTCCATCAAGCCTGTTGCTCCTATCAAGAGGCTGCTGGTCATTTTCCCCATGCCTTCCCCTTGGCTGATGTGGAGGGGGCCCTTCCTTGGTCCTCTCTGACCCTGGGTTCCCTGTAGGGTCTCTTACCCCTTTGTCAGATTTCTCTGAGCAGAGGAACTTGGTCATCCCCCTCCCCAACTTTGGGACTCTTCAGAGAGTCCTGGTCTCTGTTTCTGAGGAAAAGCCAGCCTGCCCATTTGTTCACAAAGATTTTTGTGACTAGCCAGTACATATATATAACAGGTCAGAAGAAAAGACTGTAAAGATAAAGTTAACCCTAAAGCTAACACACAGAAAAAAACATCTCTACGTGTTTTTTGCATATGGAACTGAAGGAACCAACACTCCAGTCCTTCCAGTCTTTGGAGATGGAGAGTGATTATTTTAAAGATGGGTGGGTTCAAAGTGAAGAAAGCCACTGAGCTGTCATAGTGAATGCTGTGGGCCATGGATGGAAAAAGCAAGGCTGTAGTGGTGAGAACCAGGTACTCCGATATCTAGCTTTCATACAACTGTGACAAGACATGCACATGTGAACAGGACACACACACGGTCAGTTCAACTAAAATATTCTTACTTTATTAACACATCAGGAAAAAATAGTCCTTTTCATTCCATGATACCTAATAGACTCATTTAAGACAAATTCAAGGGCTCTCAGCATGATTTATTTGTGGTGTATTCACTCAGTTCTCCATTACAGCAGTGCTAGATTCCTGTCCGCAGTGTAGCCCAAGGTCACTCTAAGAGCACAGCTGGTGTTCTGAGAGCTGGGAGCCGAGCATGCTCAGTCCAGCACTAAGTTTGCATCTGGGGATCATCAGAAAAGGAAATATTTTACTTTCTCTAACTCTGCCCTTTCTTGGTTAGCTTTGCTAGGAGCTCAGGGCAAGGTCAGGAGCTCCACTCTGCTTCTCTAGTCAGCAGAGTGTGTAACTGTTCTCCTTTGAGCTATCGTGTGATACATTTCAAAAGCTGCATAACGTTTGAGATAATTATTCTTTCCTGGTTATGTACACATTAAATAAAAAATAATAATGTTAAATAGCAAGATGTAACTTTGGCCTGTCAAATCTATTGTGAAAAGAAATTCCCCAAATCTTTGCTAAATGCCAAATTCCTGATTCCTGGTTGTCTCCAGTGAGAGACCTGCTGGCTAGTCTCTGACAGAGCCACACTCGGAGGGGAGCCCTTCAGATCTTCTCCACTCTGCAAGACGTTGCTTGAACCATTTCTAGGGAAAACAGAAATGCATGGGGGTGAATGTGCTGCTGAAACAGGGAATGAGGCACTCAGCAACTCTCTTCAAGTGCATTCGGTCTGTTCCATTTCAGTTACTCACAGAATAACATTTCCAAATGTTACTTAAGTGATTTAGGAGCCCAAAGTCTACTGAATATTAGTGAGAGTGAGACTCCTAAATCAGTGAAGTGGTTTGGAAAATTTTATCTGTAGTCTTACACATTGGCTTTTAAAAGAATGAGTCAGTCAGTGGCAGTAGGATCTGGTTTTCCAGCAGCCTTATCTCACAGCAGTGAGATCTCTCATTTGATGGGAGAAACAGAGAGAGAGAATGAAAGATGTTATTTTGATGCAGCATGGTACAACACAGCAGTGCAGTTGTGTGCTCCTAGCCAGAGTGTAAATGAGAGACTGGGCAGTGGGACATGTACAGCATGAATGAATGTAAGTCTTTGGACGTGTAAAGCATGAACTGATGCTCTTAAGGACAGGAACTACAGCCTGCATGCTGCCAGAGCTCTAAGGGATGGGAGCAGTGTTTGCGATGCTCTGAGCAGGATAACGGTGCTTGGTCAATAATAGTGAGGAGTTCTTGTGCGTGTGCTTAGAAAAGGAAACATCACTGTCCTCACAGCACATACGGAAGGCTGCAGTCATTAGTGTCATTACACTAACATTTCACTTTCAATTTGTTTGAGAAAGTGACGGGTTGTTTTTTGTTTTTTTAGGTTTTTTTACAAATGTCCTTTGCTCTGTAGAAGTATTTCTGGTTTAGGTGAAGACAAGGCAGACTGCCCAGGGAAGAGCAGTCTGCTTCTTTTTTTTTGCTAGTGGTTCTATGTAGAATCAGCACTTCATAAAGGAAGAAGCAACAGTTTTGTAAGCCACTGTGCATTTCAAATGGTCCACTGCATGGCATTGCCTCTTGCTATTATCTGAGTGATCCTTTCAGCCAGGAAAAGAGCTTTACCAAGACTGAACCGAGGCACCTCAGTTTGTTCTGTGAGGGCGTCTTTGACTGAAATCAGCATGGAGAGAATCTGATGCAATTTGCTTTTGGCTCAGCTTTTCCAGAGCAGCCTGGAACAAGCAGGGTAGAGCAGTATTGGTCACAACAGCAAGCAAGCCCTCCTCATCATAGTATTACTTTCCTTCATCAGTGATGGTTCTTATTGCCACTGTGCTCAGGGTGAGATGAAGGGGGATAAAAGTTGCAGAGAACAAACAAGCCAGCACAGTAAAGGGGATGGATAGCATGCTAGCATCCCTTTTACATTTACAAAGGGCAGGCTGGGGTGAGGGGGGAGTGTGTCTCATTGCAGCTTTTTCACTAACTGCAGTGTTACTCCTGATTTACAGTAAAGCAAATGAGATCAGAATTGGGAACATTCAATTTCACATCCTGGCTGCAAAATTTCTTCTGGGATGGGTATTACATATATTCAGCTTCAGGAATTTGCAGGAAGAAAGCCACTGAGTAGGAAGGGAGGAGTGGGTGCTGAGCTGTTCCTTCCTCTGCATATGTAGGTGCTGCCAACTTTGGCCTGTGCTGTGTGATCCATGTTAGGGCTTGTGGCCCCCAATCCCTGTACTAGCCAAGTGCCTCCCAAGATGTTAAGAATGGAAATATCAATCACAGTCTTCCTTCCCAGTTTGTGAGGAACAGGTTGATCAGTGCGCTGAGGCTTTATCTGTGAATGGGTGGATGTGTGAGTGTGTGGACTGAAGAGTCCCAGGGTGATGTGTCTGCAATGAGACCTGTGGGTGCTGAACAGACAGGCTGCTGTACGGTGCTCAGGCTGCAGCCGTCTTGGGGATGGCAGCATCCCTTGATATAATGAGCTGCATTAATGCACCTTAGAGTTCATCAGTGCACTGATCACTGTGGAGCCAGGTCTGTGTTATCGGATGAGGAAACACCTCCAGCCTGTCACAGGGGAAAGGGAGTGACACTGACTGCTCTGGCTGTCTGGCTCTGAATTGATCTCCCTTGAAGGCAGATCAATTCAGAAGGACCACTCAGACCTGGAGGGCAGGACTTTCTCTTTGTTTAACTCCTCCCGGTCATACTGGAAGGGACCCAGGGGCCCATCTGGTCTGGCCTTCAACCTCAGCTCAGTGCTGGAGGCTCTAGAGGAAGGTGTGCTGCAGCAACTTGTGTGGTGTGTGGTGGGATGAAATATCCTCTCAGACCGCAGCAGGTGCCAAGTGCTTCGGGGAGAGGAGTGAATCTCACTGGGCAGCTGACCCTGTGGTCAGCCCCTCTTCACAGATGCAGCTGCTTTTCCACCACTGACCTACTGTTCAGTTGTGCTCCCTGCTTCTCGTTGTCCTCAGAAGCCATTTCCTCAGGCCAGCAAAACTCTACATCATAACGCACTTCCATTATTTTTATTTCAGGCACATTGCTGCTTAATTTGCCCTGCAATCCCTGGTGCTAATGTATGTACTCCTGCAGGGAATGAAGGAAGCAGAGCTGGCAGTGCCCAAGGTGATCCACCAATGATCGTGTGTGTGTGTACATCTGAGTGCATGTCACTGCGCACATAAAGACCCCCATGGACAGTCTGCAGTTCATGCTCCCAGTAAAGACCCTGACAGAAGTTTGGCAATTTGAAATGGATTCTAGGACATCTTTGACCCATTTCAGCAAGTCCAAAAAAGCCCAGAGAAAATTCAAAGGATGTTCATGAGCTGATTTAAGGGGACAGAAATGTGGAGGTGTAGTGCTGACCAAGCAGTGAGCTGAGGCTGGGTGAGGTGAGATTTCAGAGGATTGCTATTAACTGTAATGGCCTGGATTAGGATTGCAGAGGTAGGGATGCAGGGCTGCTACTGGGAAACTCATCAACAGAGGAGCAGGGATGGCTGAGATTGGGTTGCCAGAAATAGCTTGGAGGGGAAGTGACCCCTCTTTAGTCTCACCAGGAGAAAGAGAGGCTTGAAAAACAGGGAGGGGGAGAAAGCAAGCAAGTGAACAAGATAGACAGGCAGACCAGATGCTAATGTGAGAGAGAAAAGGAGAAAGGCGAGAAGGCTTGTGGGTTGGGAAGGGGCAGCTCTGGAGTGGCAGGGAAGGGCGAGGGCATTATGGAAGTATGTGTTGAGGCTGTGGGTGAGCTGTTGTCTCTGGGGTGGGTAGGGAAGGGTGTGGCATGGAGAGGTGCAAGGCTGGAGCAACATGTTGGATTATGGTAGAGAGGGACAGTGGGGGCTTATTGGTGCCTGAGGTGCAAGGTAGAGGTTACAGGGGTGTGGGATGGGTGTAAGGTTGTGGGCTTTTGAGGCTATGGGGCTTGGGTCTGTGGGGTGAAGGGAGGTGGGGAACCTGAGGGGTGTTGCAGGAGTGGGGTTTTGGGGTGAGATTGGAAGGCAGCGTGCTGTGGGGTGCAGGGCTCTGGGCAGGTGGGGTTAGGGGGATGCAGAAGTGGGGGCAGTGTGAGGAGCAGGTTATGGGGTGCACAGCTAGGTTTGAGATTGCAGAAGTGGGCAGGCTACAATGGCGTTTGGGTTAAGAGGTGTGGAGAGCAGCAGGGGACTGCAGAAAGCTGTGAAATCAGGAGCAGGTCATGGAGTTTGTGAGTTGTGAGCATGGGGTGAAGCAAGGAGAAGTGTTATGGGGTGCGTGCTGGGGAGCAGGCTTATAGGGCTAATGAGGCTATGAGAGTTTGAAGGTGGGGACAGGGTTGTGTGTGGAGGTGGGGTTGTAGGTGCTACGGGGCAGGATGGTGGGGGCTGGCAGCCAGGGCTGTATGGGTCAGACTCGGGTTGCTCACTCACCAGGGTCTCTTCCTCAGACAGGCCTGTCTCAGCAGCAATGAGGCACAGGGTGGTGGGGTCAGGATGCTTGTTCACCTTGCTGAAGTTGTACTCCAGGATTTCCAGCTGCTCTGCTGTGAGGTCCTGTGGCTGCTCTGTGGCCATTTCCTCTCTGTGCAGGGCAAGGGGCTGAGGAAAAAGGCCAGCGGGAGAGAGGGGTTACTGCCTGCACCCCAGGCAGGCAGCACAGCTAGGTGTCCTTGTCCTCTCCTGGGCTGCTGGAGATGTCAGGGCAGAGGCCCCGCTCAGTTCCTGACACACAGCTCCAGCCTTGAGTTTCCTGGCTGGCTCTGATTAACAGCCGCCAGAGCATCTGCAGCCAGTGGAGCCGAGCTGCGGGTCAGCGTATGCTGCATCTGGTCTGAGCACAGCTCTGCCTGGATGGCTGGGGCTCCAGTGGACACACTCATAAACCAGGGCAGCCTTGGGCTGGCAGCTGTCCTGAGCTCAGCCAGCCGGTTTAAGTGAATGAGATTTGTAAAGTGCAGTCTCTTTGGAACAGCCCCAGCAAAACCCTCCCTGGCGGGGAGGGGAGAGGCAGCTGCTAGAGGCATTTGAAAGAGGTGAGCCTCCCTCCGAATACACAAAACTTAGCTGATGGGGAAAGCATACAGCAGCCTTCCTAAGGAAATACTCAGCCCAATCCTCTGAAAACCTGTCTGAGACACCACTTTGTGGGATAGCCTGTTCTTCCCTGGGCTATTACTAGGGTCCGAACACAGTCTCCTCAGCTGTAAAATCCCTTGAACTAAAGAAGTAAGACCACAAGCGATGCCAGACTCAATCAGCCCACAGGCCCTTCTACCCCAGGGTCCTGTGTCTCATGGAGGCTAAGGAGGAGAATGATTATGCCAGGCCTGTCCAGGTAGATCTCCCCCCTGCCCCTCTTCCCTTACAGCTTTCAGCATTTAGAGGCTGGGGAGGCCTAATCTGGAGCTGAAGCCCTAAGTGTCATGTTTCATACATCCTGATGGATCTATCCTGAGCAAAGTTGTCTAATACCCTTTTGAACCTGTATAAACTGTTGGCCTCCACAACATCATGTGGCAGTGAGTTCCAGAAGTCAATGGCATGCTGTGTGAAAAAGAGGTAGCATCTTCATCTGATCTCTGTAGCAGACTATTAACTGTCTACATAGATCCAACTGCTAGAGAGGGCAGAACAACATGGCCATCACTGAATAAAATTGCACAGCAGGGCACAGCTGGAATCCCCCTGGCACGACCAAGAGACACTAACCTCAGTGTGGCAGTGACAATGGGAACCGGGCAGCATGGTGACTAGCTACTATGGTGCCATGAGTGATCTAAGAACCCAGGAGGAGGCTGCAGACAGTGCCCCTGTCTGTGCTGTGCTGCCCTCCACATGGCTAAGCTCTTTTCCTGCATTTAAAAGGGGGGTTGCTGTCCATACTAGTGTTTAGGCCTTGGCATCATCCAGTGGTGATGTGACAGGACTGTGCTGTCAGGGAGAACTGCCCATCAGGGAGAATGTCCCAAGCTTGGTTGCTACTTGCTGAGGTGTCAGAAAGGTGCAAGTGTACTTTTGCTTGGTGCTTTTTTTCCTTGCCCTCCTTTTTAAACCTTAGGAGCAGTAACAATGGCAAGAAACAGCCTCCATGCTTGGCTTGAGATCTTGTAGGATGGCAATGCTGGGAAGTGATTTATGGCTTGGGATGTGTTTAAGAGAAGCTCATTAATCATCCAGGAGAAGCCTGGTGCAAAGCCCATTGAGATCACGTGAGGCTTTCCAAACTCAGCATGAGTTTGTGTGGGGGCAGGAGACAGGAGAAAGGAGGAGCTCTACACATATGCATGTGGGGGGAGCAGGAGGCCAGGGACTACATTGGGTGGTGCGTCTGTGTGTGCTGTGGGTGCTCCTTATGTAAGGAGGTATTGGGGGAGCTGATGTCACAATTCCTATGGGGTGGGGGAGCCCATCCACCGTAGTGTGAATGGGTTATAGGAGGGAAGGGGCCTGTGGCGGGAGTGGGCTGTGCACATGCAGTGCACTAGCTGGAGTTTGATGGAAAGGCAGTAGTGTGAGAGAGATTTTGGAGGTGGGAAGCAGAAGACAGGGTGGGGGGAGAATTTTAGTGGGAAGGCAGGAGATACAAGGATACCCTATAGTCCCAACAGGTACATTTCCCCGTTCAGCTCACTCCCAAAGTACAGTCAGACCTAAACAGAAGGGAATGCAGCCCTCTAGGAAGGCACTCAGCTGACAGGCAGATTTCCTGGACCTCAGGTGGATGCAATGAAATGTGTTACCCAGGGAACTTCCAAGGCATGTGCATCTGGATAGCCCCACTGTGACCCTAATGGCTCCTGCTGGACTCATGTGCAGGCTAAACCTGACTTTTCCATTCATGCCTTCAGTTTTCACTGCTAAGGAATTGCTATGAAAACATCTTGGAACATTTCTCATCCTCAGGCTGAGCTAGTTGCAATGTCACAGGGTTGCAACGTGTTTATAAGAGATCAGCAGAGCTCTGACAGACACAACACACATTTATTTGCAAGCTCTTAAAAAGCAAAGGGAAATGTCTACCTAATTCTCCACCCTTAAACCACAGAAAGCTTTTCTGTATTCTCATGTGTCTGTTATGCTCTTATACCCAGGCCCTAAGACATCAGTAGGACTGAGGTGCCTAGCACCTTTGAGGATCTGGGCTGGGGTCATTGTTCTGCCTTTCATATATGTCTAGATTTGCTGTTGCAGCCAGTGGGGAGTTTGAGGTCTTGAAGGAGTGCAGTGCCAGTTACAAAGGATCATCTGAAAGGTGTGAGACACACCTTGTGGTAAGAATCCTGCCTTGGGCCCTTAGAGGACTCTGCAAGTATTGGGAAATATAGGTTCAAGAAGGGAAGAGAGGAGCTATACTGCATAAAGTTGTGGCTTTGCTCAGGAGTCCTGAGTCTTGGTTTTGCACACAGACTCTGACTCTTACCTAGAGCTGACTTCTCCCCAGAGATGGGGTAGTCATGCCTATCATGCCTCCTTGATCTTTGCGGGTCCCATGGAATGACTGAGTGAAGTTTAGGGTCTTATAAATGGAGCAGTGGGTCCTCAAGAGGAAGGGTAGTTAATAATTCGGAATGGGTGAAGGAAGGGTCAGTCAGACTCTTACAAATCACTTAGATTAGGGTTTTCCCCTGGTAGTTACCTGCTATATTTCTCCCAAATACAAACCCTGAGTTCCCAAGGGCCACAAATGGGGAAGAACGACATGCCCAGGAGAGCAGGGGGTGTAGAGCTTAAGTATCTGTAGCCTTCAGAGTAGCTACAGCATTAACAGGGGCCTATAACCATGCAAGGGTTCTCTAGACTTGGGGTTGCAAACACAGAGCTTATAAGCCAGATCTGGCCCACACAGCCATTTTATCTGGTTCACAGAGCTGGAGGGTCTCTGGTGGTGTTTTGGCAGCAGGGGGCTTCTGCATGGGGCTTCAATGGCAGGGGACTTTGGCTGGGTGGCAGAGTAAAGCAGCAGCAGTACTGTGGGGGGAAGGGATGGTATCATAGCTGCAGCTCAGGCTGCAATGGCATGGGCCAGGTTGGATCTTGTATTCAGAGCTAAGCTCCATTAAAGCAGTCCCCTGTTCCAAAACCCTGCCAAGTCCTGCTCCATGACCGACACTATGACATGAATGACAGCATGTGTGCTGGTGCTCTCCATGGTTGTGGTGCTGTGGAGGTAGAAACTCAGTCATTCCTGAACTTTCTAAAAAATCACCATGCAATTAAGATCTGGTTCTAAGTAGTTATAAATGGCAGAAAATTGTGAGATCAGCATGACTCCTTATGCCATTCCTTATAACTTGCTCTTGGTGGGAATATTGGCCTTTTTCAGGGGACCTTAAAATGTGACCCACGGAATCTCAGAGGGCTTGCTACAAACCACCAGGGCCACAAACCTCCAGATCTATTCTCTCAAGAGTCTGGCCACATTTTCACAAAGGACATGGTCAAAAGTCTCATTCTCAACCAGCACTTGGGTGCCAGAGCCTTGCTGCGAGCCAGTGGGACTTGGGCCTACTACCAAAGCATTTCTGAAAGTGGGAAGTGTCACAACCCAAGGGTGTGATTTTTGTTTGTGTGTGCTTCGGCACTGCTAAATTATTTCCCGCCACTTGTAGCTTTCTTTGCAGGGTGCATTTCTAGGTTGCAAAAGAGAAATGCACGGTGCAAGGAGTTCCTGCCATTCGTATACAAATTTGTGTCCCAGTATTGGCCAGTTCTAAATTATTCCCACGTGGCGGCTAGCGATTGGCTTGCTAGCCGTATAAGAGGCTTGAGTGGTTTCCGCCCAAGTTGGAGAACTCCGAGGAGAACCCTGCAAGGGAGGACTCCACAACCATCTGGAGGAGGAGAACTTCACATCTCGTGAAGATCTCTAAGCGCTGCGGAGCCTATCGGACCCAGCGTGTATCTCAAGAAGGCTATAGGGGTCTGATCAGCCTCTCGCCTCTCCCCGTCGCCGCCTGATCCCTCGACGTACCCTTCCCTGCGCGCAAG